TATATTTCAATGTGAATAATGTATGTTTTTCTTGATATGATTGGTTACGTTTGTTTATCATAATGTATTATGTGAATAGTATATGTTTTTTTTAAAGGAATGGTCTAACAATATTTTGATGTTTGTATAATATATATATATATATATATATACATATATATATATATATATATATATATATATATATATATATATATATATATATATATATATATATATATATATATATATATATATACATATATATATATATATATATATATATATATATATATATATATATATATATATATATATATATATATATATATATATATATATATATATGTATATATATATATATATATATATATATATATATATATATATATATATATATATATATATATATATATATATAGTATATATATATATATATATATATATATATATATATGTATATATATATATATCGTGACTGGTCTTATTGGTGTTTGATGTCTAAATAATGATGGTCTTATTTATTATATAGTATATATATATATATATATATATATATATATAAATATATATATATATATATATATATATATATATATATATATATATATATATATATATATATATATCGTGACTGGTGTTATTGGTGTTTGATGTCTAAATAATGATAGTCTTATATATTATATAGTATTTATATGTATATATATATATACATATATATATATATATATATATATATATGTATATATATATATATATATATATATATATATATATATATACATATATATATATATATATATATATATATATATATATATATATATATATATATATATATATATATATATGTATGTATATATATATATATATATATATATATATATATATATATATATATTATATATATATATATATATATATATATATATATATATTATAATCTTATAATTATTTTGACTTAAAAATGTCTGTTTATTTCAATGTGAATAATGTATGTTTTTTCTTGATGTGATTGGTTATGTTTGTTTATCATAATGTATTATGTGAATAGTATATGTTTTTTATAAAGGAATGGTCTAACAATATTTTGATGTATGTATAATGACCATCCTAATGCTAGTTTGACTTTAATTTTATAAGTCTTAGTTACTGCTTTATGCTTTAGGTACTTTAAGTGCATGGACAGCATGGGAAAAATGTTCTTCTACTTGTAATATGGTTTTCTTTGTACCACGTCAAAAACGGACTCGCACATGTTTAGAAAATGGTAGTAATTGTAAAGGAGAATCGTTAGAACAACTTCAAAGTTGTAATGAATTGGTTTTTTGTACAGGTATATAAGTTATTTTTCTTTTGTAGATATCATTTAAATTAATTTTTAAAAATAATTTGAATTTTAAAATGCCTTAGGTTTTTCAATTTATTTTATTATCATCTTTAATCATCTTTTAATCTTTAATAAAAGAAACAAAAAAACAAAATCAAAAAAACAGAAAAAAAAAAAAAAAAAAAAAAAACCGATAAATAAATTAAACTGATTAAATAAGTGTTTAATCAATTTTTTGTTTGTTTATGGTTAAATATCAATTTGTTTATATTATACTTTTATTTTGTTTATGTTTTATTTTTTTAATGATATATTTTCATTTTGAGATGCAACCTAAGCAGATACAGGCCTTGTTTTAAATAAGAAACGGCCTAGCACAATAACTCGTCGTAATTTTAACTTCATAAAATTATCTTTATTTTTAAATATATTTATGAAAACTTTTTTAAACTACCTCAACGAAACAAAATACAACTAAACAAGTTTATTTTCCTAATTAAGAATATCAAATTAAGATATGGTAATTTGTAAATGTACATATTGTTAAATGCTTATTTTGTTTTCATTTTTTCATTTTTTGTTTTTAAATAATAAATTTACTAATACATTTTTATTATCATTTAAAATAATTTTATGTTTTTTTTTTATATTTAGACATGTTTTTTTTTTCCATTGTTTCTTATAATTGCGGCTTCGCAAAAAATGATTTTTTACTTTTAAAAAGCTATTAAAAACAAAAAGTATTACTTGTTGCAAAGAAAAATGGTCAAGTTAACTACTTTACCAGCGCTCTTTTTTTTGTGAAAAATTTAAGCTTCCACTAATCATTTATTTAAAGATATGTACCGTTGCGCTTTCTCTTGCTTCTAAGACAAAAAAGTTACACGTACACTTTATAAATATTCGTGATGCAGTGTTATAAGCTATAAAACTTTTACAAGGAATTTATTTTTTTATAAAAAATAATAAAAGAAAAAGAAAAACTAAAAAGAAAAACTATTTTTTTTTAATTTAAGTGCCTTTTGTATTTCAAAGGCTTACCTCATAATTAGGAAATTTTTTATTTTCCTTATTTGATAACGCACAGTCTCTTAATTATATATAGCTGATGTAACTATTATAAAATTATATTTTTATTGTATTTTGCTATTACTATAAACTATTGTATTTTGCAAAATAAAACTTATATAT